TGCCGGCTCTGACAGCAGGAGATTTTACTGAGGGAGCATACATACCATTGCTCCAGGGATGAGGGCAACTTCTGGTTTCCAGGACTGGCACAGACAACCACAGGCCCAAAGAGCCCACACCAACTGGGTTGGGCACAGGGATGAGGTAATAGGATGGACAGGAAAAAAGACATTACCTCGTCCCTGTGCCTGTCCTCATCCTCACCTTGCTCTCCTCCTCAGTTAGCCTCTCAAACATTTTGGCATAGAGCTTCTTCTCCAGTGCAAGCTGCTTGCGAATCCGCTGCTGGCAGATAGCCAGCTGGGCCTTGGCGGCTTTGTTGCTGGGGTAGAGCTGCAGGACCTTCTGGAAGTCAGCCCGTGCCAAGTCAAAGTCATTCACTGCCAGGTGGGCCTCTCCTCGGCGGAAAAGACCTTTCTCATTGTTGCCGTCCAGTTCCAGGGCCTAATGATGAGGGAGGAAGCAACAGTGAGACTTCAGCTCCTGCAGCTTATCTGGCTAAGACTCAGTTCCAAAGGCTAGCCCTCAGGAGGATGAGGTGGAATGGAAACAGCTGGCTCCACCCCAGAAAGGAGTCTTGGAAATTAAACAGAAAGGACCAAGGTCTAGAAAAGTACCTCATTTAGTCCAAGAGGCAAAGAGAGAAAACAGGTCTTTAGATGGAAGAGAAGGACCTTTCCATTCTCTTTAGAATAAAGCAGGTATGTAAGAGGGAGAGGCTAAGAACTATGGGGGAGAAAGCACTTATGTAGTTCTTCCATCCAGTGTTTCCTTCTATCTCTGGGTCAGCTGCCTCCTACCACTGAAGCCAAGATGCTTACTTCTCAGAGCCCCTGCCTCTGGGCTCTTAATCTCAGAGCTCCCAATGGTCCATCCTGCTACCTCTACCCTAGTTACTGAGGGCAAGTTTCAGACACACTGGCAGCTATCCCCCAACCTTGCCTGTAGAATGCTGCTCCCTTGCCTTCTTTAAAGAGGCCTCACCTTATTACAGCTTTCAATGGCAGCTGAAAAAGCCTGTAGCTTCAGCTGACACATGGCCAGATTGAGGTGGGAGGCCAGCCGAAGGGCCTGTGCCTTCTGTGTGTCTTCCTCACTCAAGAAACTTGACTCGTATTCCAGCCAGGATACAATCTTCTTGTATTGCAGTAAAGCTTGCTTGTACTTGCCTTCCTAGAATGAGAGGGAGGCTCAGGCACACAGCACAGGTTCAGTGGCAACAGGCTGTCATATCCTATAGACACCAGTGACCTATGGGCATGAGAGAGTCTTGCCCAACACCCAACCTTCATGAACCCAGACTAGACCAGCTAGTTCAGTTATATTAGGTGAAGACTGTAGGTGCCACTTGTCTACTCCTTGGCAGAAAATGACCTCAGTCATCACTGGGGAGGGCAGGCCCAGAGGAGCCCTCCCTGGAATGTCCTCAGTACCATGGCTGCTGGCTTACCTTGAAGTACACAGTGCCCCGCTCTTTCACTATGGTGCTCTGTTCCAGCTTCTCCTCTGAATTCATCTCCCAAGACTCCTTGGCCTGCCGTCCCCCAAGGGAGAAACATAGTTGTCAGCCACACCAGAGTCACCTACAGGGTGGGACCCGAATTCCAGATAGGGAGGACCTTGAGCAAACTCACCTTCTCAAAACTCTTGAGGTGGACTTTATATTTCAGCTCAGCATTTGGTGGGATTTGGAACTTTTCCTTCCCGACACTGCCAAAAGCATAGCTACGGGGGGCAAAAAAATCCCCTCTAGGTCATCTCAGCAGCGCTTAATCTGTTCCACACTGAAAGGGCTTCCTGCCTGCTTCCTGGAAAGTACCTCCCATCCTTTAAGACTTGTTTCAAATGTTTCCTGTTTGGCAAAATCTTCCCTGACCTCTTCACACAATTAGTTGGTCTCTTAGCATCTTATATATCCTTCTAATAACTCACACTACACATTGGCATGATTACTAATTTAAATGGCATCTCACTGAAAAGTGAGTCACCAGATGGCAGGAACAATGTCTTTGAAAACTAGGAATTTTCAGCATTATGTCTGGCACACAGTAGATGTCTTTCAAGAAATGTCATTAATGAGTGAATGAATGAATGGGAGATGAAAATCTTGATGTCAGTTGAAGAGGGAGTCTGCAGCAGCGATGACTGAAAAGACTAGGCTCTGATATAAAGAAATGTGGACAATTGTGGCCAAGCTCCTAAATACGATGAAGAAATCATAATGGTGTATGTTTGGTGTGCTCGGCAACACAGTGAACTCTAATGAGGCTGTGAGGTTAGCGAACACATGTAGGAGGAAAGGATACACATGGCCTGTTACACAACTCACTGTTGACACATAGATCTCTGACCTCAGTTCACCCACCTGCTCTACAAGGGGGCCTGCTCCTCACCTGGGCTTGAGGTACACAATGGAATATTCTCCTTTTTCCATGTGCTGAATGGCTTTCTCCAGCCCACAAGGCAGATGCAGAATCTCCCCCTCACCAATCTCAAAGTGGAGCTCCCGCTGGTCAAATACCTGGTCCTGGTAGTATCCTTCCAGTGCGACTGGCATGCAAGAGAGGCAATGTGTCAGGGGCGTGAGAGCAGGCAATTGAAGAAGGATGCCATCAGCTTCCCTCTATCACCATATTGCTTCTTGCCCCCAAGATGCCCTTGTGTTCTGAGACCTGGAGGGATGTTAAGAGTCTATGATCCAATCCCTCATTTTACAGAGAAGAAAAGAGGATCAGAGAAAGGAAGTGACTTGCCCAAAGCCACCCAGAGACAGAATTTAAACTGAAACCCCTGACTACTGTCTCACCTTCCACAAGAGCACCATCATTGGGCTTGGCAAAACCTTCGCCCCGAGTCTGTATTCTCCGGATGATTCCGCCATCTTCTTCTTCTGTCAGGTCCTCTCCCTTGAACTCGAACAACTCCACCTGTGGGACAAGACATAAGGTGACACAACTCCTTTCAGCACTAACTCGTCAACAGTGAGATACAACTTTTCTCTCATTAGAAGAGTCCCTAGTAACCACCAGACCAGGTCTGACCACAAGGGCAGCCACACTAGGAGTGGACAAAGTAGCATTTTTGCTAAGTTCTCAGGATCTAGTCTCAACTTTTGTAGAGGTGGGCAGGCCACATGGATTTCAGTTAACCCCAGATCAATCTATTTGATTGCTCCACATAATGAAGACATGTTCCAGACAATCCTAATTCAGTTACTTGAGAAACCCAGTCTAACAGGCATTAGAAATGGCCCAATATCTTTCAGTAGTCTTCTGAACATCCTCCAACTCTCAGTGGTGATTAGGGCTCAATCATTTTCAGACCGAACAGTGTCAAGTTCCACCTCCTCGGCGAAGACTTTCCTCATCCCTTTGATCCACAGGGGAGGCATCTCTCCTCAACTCTGATCTCTAGAGCAGGGTCCCAACCCCCAGGCCATGGACTGGTACGGGTCCAAGGCCTGTTAGGAACCAGGCTGCACAGCAGGGCAAGTGAAGCTTCATCTGTATTTGCAGCCGCTCCCTAGCATCACCGCCTCAGCTCCACCTCAGATCATAAGGCATTAGATTCTTGTAGAAGCACTAGTCCCTGGTGCCAAAAAGGTCAGGGACCGCTTCTTTTATAACTGCACACAGAATCTGACCTCCTGACTCCTTTGAGTTAAAATTATACCCCATTTCCTCTGGGTCCTGCTCTTGAGATAAACATATTTCAACCCCTTATCCTGCTTCGAATGTTAAAAGGGGTTCATGGCCACCTCTTCGCACCTGAAACCTCATGGCCCACATTCTGGCAGCATACAAGCTATGTGTACAGCAGGACCAACTGCCCTCACCATTTCTCTCCTCTTTTAAAGCCAGCCCCTTAGCCTTGGCTACATTGTTTCTAAGCGGGAGGAAGGACTGGAGGGCAGCCAAGTTGTGAGCTGAGATAAGGCTGGCTCATGGCCTTGCTCTCTGTGGCTGGACACTCACCTCAAACACAAGTGTGGCATTGGGAGGGATCTTTGGAGGGCTGCCTGACAAACCGTAGGCATATTCTGGTTTGCAGGTGATGTGGCATACTTCTCCCACTTTCATGGTTGCTACGGCAATGTCCCAAGCCTTGATGACCTCCCCTGTAGGTATAGAAAGCAAACAGGTCCTCTTTGGTGGGGAAGCTGGACACTCTTTAGAAATGAGACCAGGAAAATAGAAAACCTGGTTGCAGTAAGTGCTGCCAAGTCCCAAACCTCTTAAAAAAAAAAAAAACAAAAAAACCCACTCAACTCTGAAACAAAGGAGTTCAAGAAACAAGGCAGTCCACTTCTGACGAGGAAGTGAGATATGCAGAGGTGATCAGGGGAAGGAGAAATAGAAATCGATGCTGTTAATAGGACAGTGGAAGCGTAAGAAAAAGGAATAAAAAAATTAACAAACTGTAACAAACTATTCCTCCTTAACCTTCTGAGAATATGGTTTCTGCTTGTGACAGCTTATAACTTCCTTGAAGCCTAGCTACCAAGCCTAACCATGCCTACCTTTTCCCAGGTCAAAGCAGAATTTGTCCTTGCGGTCCAGACTGGAGTCAAACTTGGTGCCATCTAACAGCCAGCCAGTGTAGTGAACTAAGACTCGGTCCCCAATCATGGGTGTCTCCGTGCCCGTGCCCTCTCGCTTGATGACCTGGGAGAAGAGGAAGGTGAGTACCCAGTGATGGGGGCAGAAAGAGGCACAAAACTGCCTGCATGCCTCTGACAGGAACATAGAGGGACTTTTCTACCTCCTTGTAAGTAGATTCAAAGGACTATCCTCAAAGAATTCTGATATGGAGCTTGGCTAGAAATCAACTAACTGCCTTGTCTCTCTTGAGGTACAACATGACTTGGTTTGAAAAACGGGAGACAGAAGACCCGAGTTCAAGTTTTTGCTGTCTAATCTTGGGAAGTCAGACTCTCCAAACCTTATTTGTAAAGTAGTGATGAAAATCCCTATCAAAGTTGTTAAAAGATTAAATTGATTATCAGCAGCAAAGGGAGAAAGATCTATGCTACGTTTCTGCAAAGAAATAAATATTTATGCTACATAAATGCCAGTGGTCATCAGATCAGAGTTTGGTAGGAGACAAGGAAAGGAGTATAAGTAATGAAGAGTCCAAAAAAGGGAAAGGAATATACCAGATCATAGATGAGCACAGGGGCTCCCAATCAGGTCTTAAACTGACTCAGGAAATAAGCATTCCTTACTGGCAGGGGAATTAAGTCCTTTATTTCGGAGCTAAGAATATTTTCCAAGAACTTATGAGCTTATGCTTCTCTTTCTTAGCACTGATAAATAGTAACTCAATGGGCAACCTGGTAGGTGTGTCATTGCCCTCTACAGGGACGTTTCTATGATAGAATGGCCAGGGGACTGTGGGGTAGAAAAGTTAAGGGAAAATTGTAGAAGATAAAAGGGGAAATGACCCTTCCTGGAGTAATAACCTTGTAGAAATCACCAGGACACTGGAGTGAGAAGGGGAAGCCACATGTCCATTGGGAGAGCAGCTTGAGATTTCAAGATCTGGGGCAAAGGCATATGCATTTCTGGACCAGACAGGGGATCCCTGAGGTTTGCCCAGGTCACACACACACACGTGCAGCTGTGCAGTGGGCATAGGATCAGGGCTGGGATTTCGTTGCCATCCTAGACTCCGCAGAACCTGCTCTGAACCATGGGTAGGTCCTGACCTAGGTCAAGTCGCCCTGCTCCCTGAGTCCTACACTTTCGGCTATTTGCAGTCGGGTGGTTACACAGCAACAGGCTCCAAGCAAAGAACCTCCTCTCGGCCCCACACCCAGAAGGCCCAAATCAGGAA